GTCCCACGCCCATTTCCTCCACATCCCCCCTTCGATCCCTCCCCCCCTCCTGCATCTCAGAAGGGAGCCATCGATTCCTCCTCCTCCTCCTCCTCCTCCTCCTTCTCCTCGCTATCGTTCGCGCCAACAACGAAACGATGAAAAAAATCGGCCCGTGCGTGTAACCCTCTTCCTCGGCCGACATTTCTTTCCACGAGCCTCGTATATGGCGTATCGTTTAGCATACAATCATACCGTTCCACTTCCTCCTACCGTGTTGTTCGGGATGGCCTCCCATAGGAGGCCAGGTGCGGCCGATCGGGCATCGATAACGTCGTGTTCCCGATATTAATCGATATTTTAATCGGTTAATCGATGCCGCGGGCCCTCTTTGAGCGTAATATCCGCTCATAACGGGCCACGCTTCTTCCTTGGCCTCCGCCGATTACCATCTTACCGAGCCAAACATGAAAACATCGAGGAGGAAACTCTAACTTCGACAATGAATGTACGCTGTTCGATTCGGCTTCCTCTTCGCATCGATTTCGTCTCGTTCGTTTCGTCTTGGCAACTGATCCTCTTGAGAGTTTGTCCCTCTTTGTGGAAAGAAGGAGAAAGGATCGTAAGATGGTGGTGGATAATAGGTTTTCTGATTGGTTAGATTGGTTAATATGTTGGTCTTTGGTTATTCTAGATTTTTTTATCGAAGTTTTAAACGTATGATCAATGAATGGAGATTTAGTTGGAGTTAATTTGCACTTATATATAATAATATGGCATACGTTAAGATTAATTAAGTGTAATAATAAAGTATAATAAAGTATGTAAAAATATCTTGTCGAATAACAATGTACAATATTTTTAATTACTCTTCTTTAGTAATATTCAATCTCGATTACTATTTTTAATAAACAAAGTTCCTCCGTGTCTCTAAAAATTCTCCATCAAAAAATGTGGAAGATTTTCTTTACCATACAATTTCTGTAAACAAATCCTTCCTTCTAAAAATTCTCCACATAAAAAGAACTAATCTTAAAATCCTCCATCAATTCTTTATTTTAACAAAACAATTATTCAAAACTGTACATTATTCTCATAATGTACAACGATCCTTGTAAACAAAGTTCTTCCGCGTCTCTAAAAATTCTCTATAAAAAAATATTGAAAATTTTCTAAAAATTAGCTACTATTATTTCTCATAGTATAATTTCTTCCGTACAATTCCTGTAAACAAATCCTTCCCTTTTAAAAATTCTCCACATAAAAAGAACTACCCCTACTTAAAATCTCCATCAACCCTTTATTTCCATTAACAAAACAATTATTCTAAAACTGTTGTATTCCCTTGTAAACAAAATTTCTCCGCATTTGCTGAAATGCTCGCTCCAGGAGAGAAACGATCCTCTCCGAAGTTTCCCGGAGCGTGAAATGGTAAAAGATGTTCGAAAAAAGGAAGGGACACAGCCGGATAATTCCAAGTGGCCGGCATTCAAATGCAAAACGCATCGCATTTCCCTAAGAGTGTGTTGCGCGAGCGGGGGATTCCCAAGGTGGGGAGGAGGAGAGTTTCGAGAAACGCGAGGATTCGCGAGTGTTTTTCGCGGGGATAAACAGCGCGCCGATTCGCAGGCAGCTGAATAATTCATGATCGTCGTGGCGAGGGTGTGACGAAAGGGCGAGAATGATTTCCAAAGAATTCGTTGAACGAAAATTGGCCGATAAAAACAACGTGAAGAATTCCTCTTGTGCTCGCGGTATTGAAACGAATTTTTTTTTTTTGAGAGAGAGAGGGGTTATTGGAATTAAATTTGAAAATTTTATTTATTTTCACGATGATCCAATTATTATAAACGATTTCGAAATTGATATTTAGTTGAAGTTTGATCAAAAGTGGAATAATTGTGTATTTTACACATTAAATAGTGAATTCGTGCAATTTTTTTCTTTTACTGTTTAGAATCATGTATATTGGAGATAGCTTTAGAGATCGTTTTTTTATGAAATGTCCAAAATCAGAATTTTTACTATTTTTATATTATATATTTGCTAAAAGAAAGAGGATGATATTTCATAATATTTAAAGTATATTTAATATATGGCTTCAAAAAACGATATGAACTTATGAAATGATAGTAATAGCCTCCTTATTACGAATAAGACATTTATAATTTAAAAAACAGAATATCAATGTTTGGTTACATCATACCGTGAATATTCTTAAATCTAAATTAAATTAGACTAAAATATGATTATAGTAAAAAATAGTATAGTAATATACTTTTTTTGAACGTTGATTATTGAATATTAGATAATATTGCAACAATTATTACTCACATTCTTGATCAAATTTCAATACCGAATAACAATCTCTAACGATCCTTTCTATTTCTTTTCCACTTATCCTTCGCACGAAATGAGAAATTTAGGTTCACAATTCAAGTATTCAGACCGTCAAGTGTAAACTTTAAACTATCGTTCCCACACAATAGGATATAACTCGATTCGACTCAGCTTTACTTCGAAACACCGATAAACAAACAGCCATTTTGTTCGAAACGCATTTGAATCGTAGACCCGCGTGTCCGTCAGATGTCGTCGTTACATAATTCCCAATTACGGAACGAATTCACGATTCGACTGTGCGGTGGCGACCTCGCGGCGA